TATTGTTGGGTCTTTTYTTTTTTTTTTTTTAAATCCAATATGCTAGCCTATGTCTTCTGATTGGTGAGCTTAGGCCATTAACATTCAGGGTTATTATTGAGACATGATTTGTATTCCCAGCCATATTTGTTTATTTTTAGTATTTAACCTGACTTGTTCTCCTGTGATTAGATTTTCCTTTAGTGTAATCCTTCCCTCTGCTAATTTTCATCATTGTTTTTCATTTCTTCTTCTTGGAATATCTGTCTGAGGATGTTCTATAGTGCAGGCTTTCTAGTTGTAAATTCTTTTGACTTTTGTTCATCATGGAAGGTTTTTATTTCATCATCAAATCTAAAGCTTAGTTTTGCTGGATATAAGATTCTTGGTTGGCATCCATCTTCTTTCAGAGCTTGGTATTTGTTGTTTCAAGATCTCCTGGCTTTGAGGATCTGGGTTGAAAAATCTGCTGAAATACAAATTGGTCTCCCCCGATATGTGACCTGATTCCGCTCTCTTGCGGCTTTTAAGATTCTATCCTTATTCTGTATGCTAGGCATTTTCATTATAACGTGCCTTGGGTGTAGACCTATTGTAATTTTGTACATTTGGTGTCCTGAAAGCTCTTGTACTTTGTTTTCCAATTTGTTCTTCATGCTTGGAAATTTTCTGTTATTATCTTATTGAAGAGATTGTGCATTCCTTTGGTTTGAAATTCTATGCCTTCCTCTATTCCAATAACTCTTAGATTTGGTCTTTTGATGCTGTCCCATAATTCTTGGATGTTCTGTTCATGGTTTCTAGCTGTCTTCACTGTGTGATCAACTTTATTTTCCAGATTGTATACTTTGTCTTCATTATCTGACATTGTTTCTCCCAAGCGATCTAGTCTATTGCTTATATGTTCTATAGAGGGTTTTTTTTTTTAAATATTTACTTTTAGTTGTAGATGAACTCAATATCTTTATTTTATTTTTATGTGGATGCTGAGGATCGAACCCGGTACCTCAAGCATGGTGGGTGAGCGCTCTAGCTCTGAGCCCAGCACTTCTATTGAGTTTTTTATTTGATATATTGTATCCTTCATTTCAAGGATTTCTGTTTTTTTTTTTTCCAAAGTGTCTCTGTCTCTCCCTCTCCCTCTCCCTCTCTCTCATTAATCTTTTTCTACCTATATTTGCTCTCTTCTCTCACTATTGAAGTATCAATTTTTGCCTGTATTTGCTCATATAGGTCATTCTTTAATTCACAGATCATTTTAATTATGAAGCTTTTGAATTCCTTGTCTGACATTTCATCAACTTCGCTGTCCATGGGTTCTGTTCTTCAATTATTCAATTCTGGTTTGTTTGGGGCACTTTCCTCCCTTGTTATGTGTCTTCTTTTCTTGTAGTGTGGATCTGAGATATTACARTTTGTTCCCTGTATTCTTGTAGTACCCATGCAGATTGTCTGTACCTCACCTTAATGTTGGGTTTCTAGACCCTGTTGGTGTACATCAATGAATGCTACTGTATCCTGGATCTGGTACCTGCACAAGCCGGTGCGGGTGGATCTGGGCTGAAAGGCTTGACCTCCTGTAGTAGTCTGCTGATTGAAAGGGGCAGTCCTGTGCCAGAGGCTAGGCTATGGCAAGTATCTGCCCCACAAGGAGAGGGGTGGACTGGGCCTACTGAGAGCCTGGGTCCCACCCGTGCTAGTGTGGGCGGTCTGGCCATATCCTTTTTTTTTCTAATTTTTTTTAGTTGTCAATGGAGCTTTATTTTAATTATRTATCAATGCTGAGAATCAATCCCAGTGCCTCACACATGCTAGACAATCACTTTACCACTGAGCCACAACCCCAGCCCAGAACCATATTCTATAATGATTTCTTAAATGTCTGTTACATTTCATAAAGTAACTTGCCTAGAGGTTGTATTCAAAAAACACTTTCATATGAAAACTTAGCATGTCAAGCATTCAGTAAAAGGAATTTAGAAAAAACAGCAACAACTTAAAAAATGTTACATTCAAGATTTTCACTTTTGTTCTTTAGGACTTTAAGATCAATCATTAAATAAAACAAATTCAAATCAGTTATTTTAACTCTGTCTTAGTGGAATAAGTGGTATTTCAGAATTCTGACTAGTAGAATGAATAAACATTAAATATATACTCTATATTTAATGTCAGACCTAACAATGCAAAGATTTCGGATAAGCACTATTTCAGAACTAACAAGAACATTTTGATCCATCATTTGCTATTTTTTCTGCCAACAGTGTAAATGTGGTATACAAATGCTTAAAAGAATATGGAAGAATGTTTTTTAAATATTTATTATTATTATTATTATTATTTTTTAGTTGTAGTTAGACACAATAACTTTGTTTTATTTATTTATTTTTAGGTGGTACTGAGGATCTTACCCAGGGCCCTGCACATGCTAGGCTAGAGCTCTACCACTAGAAGAATGTTATTAATAATACATTATGGGCTGGGGTTGTGGCTCAGTGGTAGAGTGCTTGCCTAGCACACATGAGGCTTTGAATTCAATCCATAGCACCACATAAAAAATAAAGGTTATTTTACCCACCTATAAATAAAACCAAATATTAAAATAATAATAAAACATTAGGGACCAATCAGGGACAACAGAACAATTCTTCAGTATTCTAAAGTGAATTTGGTCACAAGTTTCACAGATTAGCGAGAATGAAATGTGAATTATCCATTATTAACTCACAATGAGTATCACTACCAAAATATAGTAAGCAACACAAAATAAAACTGATAACCACTAAAATTATACATACTAACACTTGCTCCAGAGAAAAAGTTACTAACACTTTAGAACTAAAAAAAAAAAAAAAAAAAAAACTGCAAAACTTGTCAGAGAAAGCAAGACTTGGTTAAAAAAAAAAAAATACAAACAACATAAAATTGACTATAGCAAAAGCTGTCACAGTAGTTAAAGACAAAATAGAATCTTAACAATATTTTGACTTGCCTACATTTATCTACAAAAATTGAACTTGGAAAAAAATACCATAAGAGAATAGCTATGATGGTAGAAGTTTTAATGATAAAAGTCTAACATGAACTACACTGATTAAGAAATCAATTTATTGGGCTGAGGCTGTGGCTCAGCGGTAGTGCGCTTTTCGGGAAAGCTTGAGGCACTGGGTTCGAACCTCAGCATCACATATAAATAAATAAATAAATAAATGTACATTGACAACTAAAAAAAAAATCAATTATTCATTAAAAACTTCTCACGAATAAAAATAATTTAAGGAATAAAAACATAAAAAAAACACAAAATTCCTTCAAACTACCATATATAAGAATTTTAGTTGACTAAAAAAGAAATTAGCTCTGAAAAGCACTTTCTCAATGAAAATATGTCAATTTTGGCATATATCTAACTTAAATATTTTTCTTAAATATGGAAGATAAAGCCTTTACAACAAAACTCAAAGGTTAAAATAGCAACAGGGGTGCTGGGGCTGTGGCTCYGTGGTTGAGTGCTCACCTAGCATGCATGAGGCACTGGGTTCGATCCTAAGCACCACATAAATATAAAATAAAGATATTGTGTCCACCTAAAACTAAGAAATAAATATTTTTTAAAAATAGCCAGAGGATCTGCAATTAAAAACTGAAAGGTTTCAGAAGTTTTAAAAGCCAGGAATTAAGTAGAGGTTTGTGCAGTGGGGTAGGTTTAAATACCCTTAAAAGCAAAAGCTCATCAGTTATATGAACATACTTATATTATAGGGATATGGATACAAAGAATACAAAATGAATAAGTTATATGACATAAGTCTAAAGATCTAAAGTAGCAGCATGAAAACTACAGTTAATCATACTGTATTCTATAATGAAAATCTGCTAAAAGAGTAGATTTTAGGTGYTCTTACAACACACACACACATAAAAGGAACTGTAAGGTGATGGATACATTAATTTCATTGTGTGCATGTATAGCAAAGGTTCTTACTGTAGACCTTATATAAAAAATACCTCAATAAATTTARCAAAAGGATCAACTTGTACCCATATATACACTGGAAATTGGCTAATTTTCTTTAAATATTACTTTTGAAACAATTCCTAATAAATTCAAAAATAATTTAACTTGAGATAAGGGGCAAGAAACACTGAGTTCCTTGAATAAAAGCAATAAGAGCAACATTCTTTCAATTTTTGGAGAGTGGTACTAGTCCTATTTAGGTTTTTTTCACAATTTATTAAACATTCATATAAGTCTCAATCAATAAGAATCCTGTGAAGGATCTGAGAATCCACTTTTTTATATATAATTTTTTATACCTTTGATTTATTTATTTTTATGTGATGCTGAGGATCGAACCCAGCACCTTGCAYGTGCTAGGTGAGCAGTCTACYGCTGAGCCACAACCCCAACCGAGGAGTCCACATTTTTAACATGTACCTTAACATAATTTTTTATTCAGTTATTATGGTTTCAAATATAAAGTATCCCCTAAAGGTTCCAGTGTTAATATAGGAGGTAAAATGATTACACTAAGAGAGATGTGCCCTAAATCAGTGGATTAGGGTTGGAATAATCCACTTTATGGATTAATAATTTGAAAGGACTAAGTGGTAACTGTAGACGGTGGGTATGGCTGGAGGAGGTGGGTCATTTGGGAGTGTGCCCTTGGSAATTTTATCTTCTCCCTAGCTCCTCTTTCTTTCTCTCTGCTTCCTGGTTGCCAGGAGCTAAGTAGCATTCCTCCACCACCCATTTCTGCCATCATGTTGACTCACCTTAGGCTCAGAGCAATGGATTTGGGACTAAGCCTATGAAACTCTGAGCCAAAATAAACTTTTCTGCAGCGAAATTGCTCTTGTCAGATATTTTGGTCACAGGAAAGTAAAACTGATTAATACAACAGGTAATCTGAGGTTCACACCCTATTCTTAAGATAATCATCTCTACTCAAATACATCCTAGGGAAAACAGGGAACAGAGGGCAGGAAGAGAGACAAGGATATGAAGACTGATTACAAACCTTTATATGTCGGAGCAGGGGGTGCTGTTGCCACTTTCCTGACTTTTGCTGTCACTGAGCTATCAACATTAACAACCATTACTGGATGATCAATAGGACCCAGGTTCTGGCCCCGGCCACTTATTTCTTCTGAGTGTTCCCATTGTTTCCTAATCCGTTCCTTGAGTTTTTCCAGTTTAATATCATGTTGTCGCCGCTTTAAAAAATCTAACCTTTGGGAACTAGAAGTGCTAGCAGAGGATGGAGAAGAGTCAGTTAGCCGTAACATTTTTGGATCAACATCATGGCCCATGTTATTCACAGAAAGCTTTGAACTGTTCTCATTTCCTTTTGCTCTATTAGGCATTTCTTCTTCAATCCTCATAGGAGTTCCCATCTTAATCAAACATTCTGAATTATGCAATGTATCAACTGCTGGTCGATCATTTAAAAACCTTACAACTGTATCACTGATGACAGATGATTGGGAGCTCTCAAAATCACAGCAATGTATATTCCGTTCTTGATTGTGTACCATCCGGTTCCCACTCTCAGCCTTTTCTTCATTAACATCCACACAATATACATGCTTTGACTCCAGATGGCTGGGACTTAAGTTGGAAGATGCACCAAGGATTTCCCTATAATAATAACAAAAAAGCTTTGTGACTTTAGTAAACAAAAAAAAATAAAATAAAATACTGTAGACTTGAAAATTGATAAGTAGATTTTAAAGGCTTTTGCCACAAAAAAATCAATAAGTATATGAGGTATTAACGTATGTTAAAAAGCTTGATTTAGCAACTCTAAATGTGTACAATGTGTATATATATACATAAAAACAACAGGTTGTATGCCATAGGTATAAAAGATTTTTGCTGGTGATTTTTAAAAACCTTTTTTTAAAACTTTAGTAAGTGTTCAAAAACTAGTCAAACAAACTGAAAGAAGAACTCTAAGCTAACACTAGCGGTCAATAAAAAATTAAAGTAAAAAGCTTTGAAATTAAAAGTTAAAAACAGTAAAATAAATATTACTAATACTACGACTCAGTGTTCCTTGCCCCTTATCTCAAATTAAATGACAAATAATGTGCAGATTTTACAACAAAAAATATATAAAATGTGTGTGGAGAGATTTCCTTAAGAATTCCAAGAAAACAAGATTACAATCTAACTTTGGGTATTCATTTGTTATCTGTTATCAATATGTATGATTTATTCCTCTGACATCTTAAATATTAGGAACAAAAATTCTCAAAACTAGTATTTCATATTTGTAATTTCTAAATAATGTACCAAATTACCACATTGATTGGGAGCAGAAATAAAGCTATAATTTCCTCCAAATAAATGTGTCTAGTAAAGTTAAACCTCTTACCATAGAGCACTTTTTAGCAGCTTTAAACTATATAAAGTATATCTAAAAACTCAAGAGTAATCAGGGAAGACTAGGCAGAGCCAAAGTACACAGCACAAAGTTCATATTCTCTTTTCATTAAAACACCAGCAAATCTTCCTTCAGAGACTTTTATTTTACACATCATTGTAATAAGCTTTGTTTTAGGAAAGCAGAATATCAGAGCTGGGGTTGTGGCTCAGCAGTAGAGCGCTCGCCTTGCACGTGCAAAGCCCTGAGTTCGATCCTCTGCACCACATAATAATAAATAAATAAAGGTATTGTATCCAACTACAACTGAAAAATAAATATTTTTTAAAAATTTTTTAAAAAAAGAAAGCAGACTATCAAAAAACATGGTTAATGAAGACAAACAGGACTCAGTACATGAATTATGAAAAAATACCAAACAAACATAAAATAGAATAACAGTAGTCTGGATCCTCAATGTCTAAAAAAGTAACCATTAGCCTCATGGTAATTGAATAAATAATATATGGCGAGTCCAAATTGAGAGGTATTGAAATGTAAAGTACATATTGTATTAAAAAGACTTGGAAATATAAAACATTTTATTTTTGCATTTAACTACACTGTGGCTTACATTAATATTGGTATTATATAGCCTAATCCATACCATTTCATGTGAAGGCTTGAAATTCTAAATATAAAAATTCTTACAGCCATGACTATATTACAACATAATATGGTAATTATGTCTATTGTGAATGTACGAACWTGTACATTTTTCCTAAGGAGATAGTCTACGGTTTTCATCAGATTCTCAATGGGACCCACCACCCAAAAATAGGACCTATTTGGAGTGGTTGATTATTGAAAAAATGGGGATGAGAAATGAGTCCTATAGCTGCCATCAGAGACCAAAACTAACTGCAATTATCACTATCTTGACCAGAATGTAACAATTTATAGCTAAAATTACTTAGGTTTAAAATTAGCACAGTTAGGAAATAAAATAAAGAATAAAATGACAGATAACATCTCTGAATCTGAAAAAGAGAAAGAAAATTGACACACAAAAAAGTAATTTCACAGTCTTTCAATCACTCATTAAATATTTACTATGTATAAGGGTGCTCATTATACAATTCTTTCAACTTTCCTATAAATTCGAAATTTTTCATAATAAAATGTTAGGAAAAAAATACTTATTGGATATTTAGCACATGCCAGGCATTAAGCTAATGCTTTGAGAATAAGATTTATGACCTTAAAGACTGCTGTAGCACTAGACATAGTGGAACATGCCTGAAATCTCAGTAACTTGGGAGGCTAAGGCAGGAGGATCACAAGTTGGAGGCCAGCCTGGAACTTTATTTTGAAACAACCATGTTTCAAAATAAAAAGGACTGAGGATGAAGCTCTGTAGTAAAATGCCCCTGGGTTCAATCCCTAGTGCCAAAAACAAATGAGGCAAGTATGAAATAAAAATGTCATGTAAAGTGAAAATGTTGTAACAGAGTAGTTACCTAGTATTATTGGAGCACAGATTAACTTGGCAGGAAAAATGGAGTGGAGAAGGAACAGATCTGGCCATGTATCATACAGAAGGTAATGAGTTTTAGGAGATAAGTGGAGTCTGCCAAGATGGAGAAGACAGTCTACTTACAGCTATAGTCTGGTATTTTTTTCTTAAAAGATACATAGTTTACACAATTTTAAATACCAAGTATTATTCTTTGCAAGAAGAACATTAGAATATTGTCAATAACTCAGACTCAGTATCAGTAGTGACTATATTTCTAAGCAAGTTGCTTAATAACTATACGTTAAAAAAATGTGTATGGTAGAGATTCTTAACTTTGATTATTCTTCAAATTATTCCTTTTTCTAAACCATGAACTATTTACTCATATTAAGTACCTAGCCTTCTCTTTATTTTTATACTATTCTTTATTGCTTCAATACCAGTGATAACTCTCAACTCTGCACTTTTAGCCCTGACTACTCCACATACTTTCTTATCCATATTTTCAAATGCCTACTGAATACCTTCACCAAGGTAATTCACAATTGCATCAAATGTAATGTATTAAAAATTGAACTCATTATCTACTTCTTCTCCCAAGTCATTAAATTTTAAGAACCATCAAGAAACTTCTTGATTTATTGACATTATAMAATACAAAAATGCTTATAAATGAAACAAAGAAATATATGGTCCAGTGTTGTTTGTTACTTATTATTTACCATACTAGAGAACATATGCATTTAAATTATTAGTATTCCTCAAATAAATACAAAATTCTATAATTTTAACAGTTAAATATTCTAAACTATGTTTAAAAAATTCATTCATTCATCTTGAACATCTAYGTTGTAGAAAGGAGTCACAACAAAATAAAACAATAACCAACTTATGTTCTCAGTAAGAAAAAAAAATTAATTACTACTACTACCAGAAAAAAAGAAAACTTAAGCTATATACAATGCTTAGCATATGTGAATCCAAGGGTTTTATCCCCTGTATCACACTAAAAAAAAAAAAGTAAATAAATAAATAAGAAAACTAAACTACCCACAAAGTCCATTATGTAGAATACTTAATCTGAGATATTAAAAAAGGGGGGGGGGACAAACTGAATCATTTATTTCTAAGAGATGAATTTATTATACTGATGGGGCAAGTATTACTATTTTCTGACCCCCAGAAAGATACATGGGCAGAGGTTGTGGCTTAGAGGTAGAGCACTCGCCTACCAAGCGTGAGGCACTGGGTTTGATCCTCAGCACCACATAAAAATAAAATAAAGATATTGTGTCCGCCTATAATTAAAAAATATATTTTTTTTTTTTAAAGAAGATACAGTGCTGGAGATGTGGTTCAGTGGCAGTGCAAGTGCCTAGCATGAAAGAAGCCCTGCGTTCAATCCCCAGACCCACAAAAGAAAAAAAGGACATAGTAGTATTTCATAATGTGAAAGACTTTTGTCCTTTTTATGGAGGAAAAAAAAAAGTCAATAATACTATGGGCTGGGGTTGTGGCTCAGTGGTAGAGTATTTGCCTAGCATGTGTGAGGCACTGGGTTCGATTCTCAGCACCGCATATAAATAAATATAGGTCTATTGACAACTAAAAAAATATTTTAAATAACAATAATAAAGTATTATAATACTACTTCATGGAGTATTAAGAAAAACTGACAAAATCAACTATCCTATTATAAACATTATGGGTTAACTTTAGTTTGCTTTCTTTTTTTTTTCCCCAATGCTCACCTGTAGGAAACCAAAGGTTCACGAAATTCCACACGATTATTTTTCTTCACATTACTCTCTAGGGTGGTAGCTCTGAGAGGACTACGAGATTTCTCTTTTCGTGATTTAGCAGACTTGGAAGTAGGAACAATGGCCCAAGAATCATCCAGGTATCTACCTTCTGAAGGAAAAGTAAATCTGTGAGAACATATGACATAAAATAGGACWGCCTATGACTTGGACTACTATATAAAAAAAAAATAACAACTTAGGTATGTGTTATTTCTAACATCTTGGGCTGGGGATATAGCTCAGATGGTAGAGAGCTTGCCTCACCCTGGGTTCAATCCCCAGCACCACCAAAAAAAAAAAAGGATCTAACATCTCTGATTGGATATTACATAAGGATGTGGAAAACACTTGGGTTAAAATAGTACAGTAACTCAATTTATAAAGACTATTCTGAGCAGACGATGCAAAATAAAAATCTACAGAACTCCTTTCTACGAATGGCTCTCACTCACTTAAAAAGTATTAGATAAAACCCAATAAACTCACAGGTTTAAAAAAAAGAAAAAAAACAGGTTAAGTARAGAGTACCAACTTGCCCACCAATTAAGAAACCACAGAATCAAGTATGTGAAAGGTAACCAAAGAAAACATTTCCATTGTGTCAATTTGTGATAGTATAAAAGATACTTCACTTATAATTTTAAAGCCCAATAAAAAAAATACATCTTATTAAGTCAAATTTCACTTTCAAAGTAATATATATGAAAATTTTTTAAAAAGATATATGTTAATAACCTCAAAAACTCAGAATGGTATGATTGTGACTATAAACTAAAAACTCACTATCAAAGGTGATACAATGATGCTAAMGTCCCTTATCAATAGATGATGAAAACATCTCCCTTCACTGAAAAATGAGGCTGCTTCAAAACTATTGAGTACCAAAGAAAAACATTAAATGCTAATGAGTTATAGTCTCTGACAAAAAAGAAAAAACAAGCAAATACATAGAACTATCCAGAAAATATTAAACTAAAACAAAACATAAAAATTTACATTTTATATATTTATGTCTTTGGAAATAACTCATACATACCTTTTCTACTAATTTTTCTGGTAGCACTTGCAGAAGATTTCTTGGCATCCATGACAGAATCAAACACAGCTGTACTTGAAGGGGCTACTTCTAATTTGTTTTCAATATGTCTCAGCTAAAGTTTAAATACAATCACAACATATTAATTTTATAAATAATACAGCTACCCTCAATTTACAGGGTTATTTAAAACTTTATTGCCTAATATCTTTCACCAAATTAGAAAAAACATAGGATGCTTTCATTTAATATTAGCTTTTTTATTACTTATTACTTCTAYAATTACACTTCGGGTGTAATACACCCCAAATCTGAACAAGAATATAAAAAAATATTGTTAAAACCATCAAAGAGTTTTTTTTTTAATATTTTAGTTGTAAATGAACATAATAGCTTTATTTATTTATTTTTATGTGATGCTGAGGATAGAACCCAGCACCTCACACATGCTAGGGAAGCACTCTGCCACCAAGCCACAACCCAGCCCTCAAAGAGTTTCTATTCATAATGTTGAACAATTTTTTAATTATTTTTTAAAATTTTTATTTATTTTGTGGCACTAAAGATTACCCTGAGCTACATCTCACACTTTGTTTTTAAACTATTTTTAATACCTTTATTTTATTTATTTTTATGTGGTGCTGAGGATCAAACCCAGCACCTCGCCCGTGCTAAGCAAGTGCTCTACCGCTGAGCCCCCCAGCCCCTTATTTTTTTAATTTGAGACAGAATCTTACTAAATTGCCCAGCCTGGCCTTGAACGTAAGATCCTCTGCCTCAGCTTCCTGAACAGCTAGAATAATAGATATACACCACCATGCCCAGTATAACTGTTTTTTTAAAGCAGTAAATAATCTGATATTATATGTGGCATATCCTTATGAAATGTATGTTATATATTTTACATGCAAAAGTGAGGAAAGAATGTTTAAAAGGACTGCAATTAGGACTATTAAAAGAGCTACTAAAGCTAAAAAAATGCTTAGGAGAAAACATAAGGAAAAAGCTTCAGGACATTGGATTTGGAAATGATTTCTTGGATATGATACCAAAAGCACAGGCAACAACAAAAGAAAAACAAATGACCTGGTCTTCATCAAGATTAAAATCAGTCTGAAGCTGTGGCTCAGTGATAGAGCACTTGCCTAGCATGTGTAAGGCACCAGGTTCAATTCTCAGCATTACATATAAATAAGCAAATAAATTAAACATCCATCAACAACTCAAAACAATATTTTTTWAAAAAGATTAAAATCAATAATGAATCAACAAATAATAGGATAACAGAGCAAAAAATCCATAGAATGGGAGAAAATATATGCAAATCATATATCTCATAAGGTATTGATATCCAGAATACATAATAAAAAAGATGAACAGTCCAATTTTAAAATGAGCAAAACAAATTCAGAAAGTCAAGGGTTATATGTTGTCTCTCTTATGTAGAAGCTAGAGAGAAAAAAGAGAGGAAAAGGTGATGGTGGGGATCTCATGAAAATAAGGAGACTAGTGGAATAGAGAAAGGGGACCAAAGAAGAAAGGAGGGGAGAGAAAGGAGAGTTACTAGGGAACAAAATTAACCAAAGGATTATTATTATGTTGTACATATATACAAATATGTAACAATGAACTCTACTATTATGTATAATCCACCAAATGCAAATTAAAAATGATTTTGAGGGTCGGAAGCTTTAGCTCAGTGGCAGAGCACTTTCCTAGCATGTGTGAGGCACTGGATTCAATCCTTAGCACAGTAAAAAATAAATAAAATAAAGGCATTCTATCCATCTACAAAATAACATTTTTTAAAAATGATACTGAAATTGTTTAAAAAAAAAAGAGCTACAACTTTTTACAGTTGTATGTCTACAAAATAAGTTTCATAATAAAGACAAAGTTCACAGGATAGACTTCAGATTTTGAGTATACTTTGCAAGACAAGTCAACTTTTGGTATAAATGCCAATGTTCTCAGTGAGCATATTCTCCTGTCTGGTAGAATATTTCATGCTTATAGGAGATTATATGAAAACAGAAAAAGTTAAAATCATTGAAATTCTATCACATAGAAATAAATACTTTATATAATCTTTCCATTTATCCTCTTGCACATTTTTGTATGTACTAAAAAAATTGGAATAATCATTAACATAGTAATATTTCTAAGATCCGGAGCATAGTATAATGCATGCCTATGATCCCATTCACTTGTAAAACTGAGACAGGAGGATCACAAGTTTGAGGCCAGCCTAGACAATGTAGGGAAACCCTTTCTACAAATAAAAAGGGCAGGGGATATTGTTTAGTGAGTGGTAAAGTGTTCTTGAGTTCAATTCACAGTAGCAAAAAAAAAAAAAAATTCTGTATTTCTTAACCCTAATATTTCTATATCAGGGTTTTCTTATTTATGAGTCCCTTATACTTCCTTAAAAATTATACCTAATACTTTTGAAAAAGAACTTTCAGCAGTATAGTTTTGAATTAGCTTAGCTCTAAATTAAACTGATGGATTAAAAACTACTCCCATATTATAAATACATAAAGCTCATGTAAAAAGACAGAATTTTTGCCAAATCCAACCCTGCATTGGGACCTTTTCCAGATTCATTTTCATAATCTGGAATCTTTTCCAGATTTCATTTTCATTTCAAAAACAGTTCTTAAGATCATAGGACAGAAAACACCACAAAAATACTCAAACAGTAAAAAACAGGTGATTCAAATTTAGATAGTACATAAAAAAAAAAACAGAAAAGGGCTATGAAAAGACTATTAAAAGGGGCTGGGGTTGTAGCTCAGCGGTAGAGCACTTGCCTAGCATG